CTCAAGATCGCTCATAATGAAAACGATACCATAAACTCATTAAAAAACAACAGCAGCAATGATCATTACTAAAAAAAAAAAAGGCATGGCACAAAAACAGTATAAACCAACCCTAATGGGTCTTTAAACCCAATAAACCCATATAACAGACTAGAAGCAGCACAGGAAACAACTGGGGGGAAAGAAAAAGATAAAACCCTTTATTTAAAAATGTGGATAAAAAAAGGATATCTTTGGCCTGGTACCTAAAAGCATATGGAGCAGAAGTCCATCAGTGGAGCCACAAGGTATAGACAGGAACTCTCAGTCTGGGGCAAGTGATGCTCTGTATTCTTGGTGCTTGGGGGGGGAGGCAAGAGTGGGAGGGCTTCTAAGTGTCCTGGCCCCACTGCTGGACCTCCTGATGGCACCTGGTATTTCTGGCCACTGTGTGACACAGAGTGTTGGACTGGATGGGCCATTGGCTTGATCCAACATGGCTTCTCTTATGTTCTTAAGAGCAGAGATCCATCAGTGGCTATGAGCCACAAGGTATAGATAGGAACTCTCAGTCTGGGGCAAGGGATGCTCTGTATTCTTGGTGCTTGGGGGGGGGGCAACAGTGGGAGGGCTTCTGGTGTCCTGGCCCCACTGCTGGACCTCTTGATGGCACCTGGTATTTTTGGCCACTGTGTGACAGAGTGTTGGACTGGATGGGTCATTGGCCTGATCCAACATGGGCATCTCTTATGTTCTCTTATGTTCTTAAAAGCCAGTAAGATAAGCACCAGCAAGCCTCAAAGGGTTATGCATTCCAAAGACAAGGTGCGACAACAGAAAGGGCCCTGTCTCTGGATGTGAAGGCATAGAGAGCAGGGTTTGGAAGGCAGATGGACAAGTATGGGAGAAGACAATCCTCCGAGTAGCCCAGCAGGGCTTAAAGGTAAGAACCAGCATTTGGAATTGTGTCCAGAAACACATGGGCAGGCAGTGAAGATCTTTCAGCACGGACCTGGGTGATTAACCGGGAATGATTAAGAAGACATTTATACTACTAATTTAACTAACATTCCTTAAAGGAAGAGACCCCAGATAATTTGTTTCTAGTAGTCCAACTTGATTACATATGAATCCACAACAGGTTCGCCTGAAGGTTTCTGGAACCTTCCATCATGGTCAATATTAACATCTTTGAAAACCATTCCTTACTAACATTCCTTAAAGGAAGTTTTGGGGACCCCAGATAATTTGTTCCTAGTAGTCCAACTTGATTACATGTGAATCCCCAACAGGTTTGCCTGAAGGTTTCTGGAACCTTCCATCATGGTCAATATTAAATTCTTTGAAAACCATTCCTTAATAACATTCCTTAAAGGAAGTTTTGGAGACCCCAGATAATTTGTTTCTAGTAGTCCAACTTGATTACATGTGAATCCACAACAGGTTCGCCTGAAGATTTCTGGAACCTTCCATCATGGTCAATATTAACATCTTTGAAAACCATTCCTTACATTCCTTAAAGGAAGTTTTGGAGACCCCAGATAATTTGTTCCTAGTAGTCCAACTTGATTACATGTGAATCCCCAACAGGTTCGCCTGAAGGTTTCTGGAACCTTCCATCACGGTCAATATTAACATCTTTGAATACCAACTTTAGCAACTTATTGATTATTGAAACCTGCCGCCTGGTCTATTACTGACAGCCTGTGCTCGCCGGCCGAAACTGAGAATGACCATCAAGCCGAATGTCTATACAGGAACTGTCTTTAATATCATAAGTTACCATCTTCGATACCATAAGTTAGTCGCTAGCACATTATATGATGTAAGTTAGTTTTAATGAATTGTTTTAGATATTTATTGTATTGTGTTTTTATGATGTTAGCCGCCCTGAGCCTGCTGTGGCAGGGAAGAAATCTAAGTAAATAAATGAATAAAGCCAGGTTAGTAATTAAGGGGTTTGGGGCAAGTGTCTTTTTTTTTTTTAGGTTGTCACTTTCTTGACCTATAATATTCTCCCGTGAAGATGGCTGTTCCTAGAAATTTAAGCTTCATTGCTGGCATTGGTATATCACATGGTATTTCTTATGGGGGAGTATGCATTCTGAGTAACTGTGTTATAATAGGTCATGCCCAGTTAATGACCAATAAGATGGTTTCCACTGTGCCACTGAGAGGGTGTTGGTTTTTCCAGAGAGGGTGGGTGGGTTTCAGAAGTAATTCGCCTTTCACAACTCCTTTGTTTACATGCCGTGAGTCAGTGAGAGGTCACCCCAGTTCCACGAAAGGGTCAACTTTAGGTTCCCTTGTCTTTGCCCACACGTGTGGTTGCTGTACTCATGTCTTCGAGGACACGGCAGTTTGCAGAAGAGGAAGGAGCGCGGTGGTGATGTGATGCCGTAGAGCAGGGGTGGCCGAACTTGCTTAATGTAACAGCCACATAGAATAAATGTCAGATGTTTGAGGGCTGCATGATACGAACAAATATTATACGTTTTTATTGAAAAATATGCAAATTTGCTTATTATTAACGTTAAACGAGACTGCCAACTTTAAATGTGTTCTCCAAGCCTCCCCACCCCACCGGCTGGCTTGGCTTGGAGAAGGGATTTAAAGAGACAAATGCCTTCTCCAAGCTGGCCAGTGGGGGGGGGTCCCTTTGAGAACGCATTAAAGTTGCTTTCTTTCTCTACTCCCCCCACACACACACCTCAAGCCTACTCAGGGAGGGGAACACTGGCTGGGGAAGGGTAGACCAATCGGGGAGGCAGGCCTCCCCTTTGTTCCCCCAGCCACCCTGCCGGGAGCTGCACAATATGTGTGAAAAAGCTGCACAATATGTGTGGCTCCTGACCTGCAGTTTGACCACCCGATAGAGTCTGCCCTTCAAAGTTGCCGTTCCTTCCAGGCGAACTGCTCTCTGTAGGCTGGAGAGCAGTTGTAATTCAGAGAGAACTCTACCTGGAGCTTGATAGCTCTTTGGGAGAATGAAGAGGGAAAGCCCCACTCATGTTGTGGTGGATTGAAGCCTTTTCCTATAGAAAACCTCTCTCCCTTGAGTTGTCCTCTTACAGTGATTTTGATTAATAATAATAAGAAGAAGAAGAAGAGGAGGAAGAGGAAGAAGAGGAGATTGGATTTATGCCCCGCCCTTCACTACGAGTCTCAGAGTGGCTTACAAACTCCTTTCCCTTCCCTTCCCCACAACAGACACCCTGTGGGGGAGGTGGGGCCGAGAGAGCTCTTTCCAGAACTGTCCTTGAGAGAACAGCTCTGACAGAACTATGGCTTGCCCAAGGTCATCCAGCAGCTGCAAGTGGAGGAGTAGGGAATCAAACCCGGTTCTCCCAGATTAGAGTCTGCGCACTTAACCAGTACGCCAAACTGGCTCCACCAAATATTGAAAGTGATGGTGTCATGACAGGCAGTCATGTAGTTGTAGGGTTGCCCGGTCTTACCTGGCTGTCGGTGGGGGGCTCCAGCCCAGGTCCCTGGATCTTCTGGTGCACGCGCCGTGATGTCATCACCCAGAAGTGATGTCATCACACCGGGTGCGATGGGGCTCTTCGGGGGTGGGGCTCCCCTGCCAGACAGCTGGCCAGCAGTGGATTGGGGCCCCCAAAAGTGGGGGGAACCTGCCCCCATCAGGGGAATGGCAACCCTATGTAGTTGTTCAAGTGTTAGGCTAAGAGCAGGGCAACTTGGTTTCAAATTTCGACTCAGCCTTGAAGCTCACTGGGTAAACCCAGGCCAGTTACTTTTCCTATCTCATGGAGTTTGTGTGGGAATAAAATGGTGAAGGGGAGCCATATTATGATGCCTTCGGCTACTTGCTATTTGGAAGAATGATGGGATGAACATGGATAAAGAGATTCCTCACTAATTCTTTGTTACCTGAACAAAGTTTGAGTCCAGCAGCACCTTGAAGACCAACAAAGTTTAATTCTGGGTATAAGCTTCCGTGTGCATGCTTATCCGAAGAAGTAAGATATCTGTATGAAAAAAGACGCTGATACTGATACACAAAAAACTGAGTAATAATCCTAATACAAAGTATAATCACATGTAAAAAATCTCTAAAATAGAAAAGTAATCTCTTGAGGTATCAAATAATGTCAACAAGTAGGAAAGTTCTCTCTTGAGGTGAAGGTGTCTGAAGAAAAACAACAACGAAAGATCCGGATATTGAGAACTCCGTTTCGAAGAACTTCCTCAGTAACTGAAACAATATATCTTCAAAAGTTCAGTTATATGCACTCTTGTGAGTTGCAGCAAACAATATCTCATTAGTGGGCAGTTATTTACAGCACATCTCTAGATGGGTGAAATATATTTTTGACAATATTTGATACCAATATTTAGACAATAGTATTGAAAAATATAAAAAGAAAAAGAATAAAGCATAAAATTGATTTACAATAAACATATATTTATTGTACACAGTGATCAGTGTTCCCTCGAAGCTGAGTTAATGTGAGCTAGCTCACAGTTTTTTAGCCTCCGGCTCACACATTCAGCTCAGGAAGGATGGCTCCAGAGCAAGCTAATTCATGCAGTAGCCAAATCACTTGCTCACAACTCTAACGCCAGCAGCTCACAAAGTAGAATTTTTGCTCACAAGACTCCACAGCTTAGCGGGAACACTGACAGTGATATATATTTTTGTAAGTCTTCAAGCAGCAGCGGGACAAACACTTGCCAGGGATGCTCTAGGCTGATCCTGCATTGAGCAGGGGGCTGTTGGACTAGATGGCCTGTATGGCCCCTTCCAACTCTGGGATTCTAGTCCAACCCATAGACAACACTGGATCTCTAATTTGACTGCACTAAGTTCTTTCTGCTGAATCTATTAGCCAAATTGCACCTTCAGCACTCTAAGGGGAAACATGTGGGAAACGGACAGTAGAGATTACGCAACTTCGCGTATCGGCCTAAAAATAGTGCTCTGCTAATGATGCAACTTGTGGCCCCTGGCAAATAAATAGAAGCCGCTTGGCCTCTAGAGGCACAGGCGAGACAAACGTTCCAGGCTGAATTCCTTTGTGGCAAGCGTGACCTCTGGAGTCAGAATGAGACCAAGCTTTGCTCTCCTGCTTCTTGCTCTGCTGGTTGGTTGCCACACCAGCACTGCAGGTAAGAACCGTCTCTGGGGTTCCTCCTGTTGTCCTTTCCTTTCCTGCTCAATGTTTTGTGTTCATGTTTAGTGTTTCGTTTTGTACTGCATCCATCTTCCCTGGAATGGTATCACAACATCCCTGAGAGGTAGATTGCTTTGTAGGTAGGACAGGGAGGGATGGGTTGGTGGTTGTGTTGTGCATCAAAGAGGGCATAGAACCAAATAAGTTAGAAAACATCAGGGGAATGAACTCCCCAATGGAAACGATATGGTTGGAAATACTGGGCACTAAGATCCAGAGGAGTTAGTCTGTTGCTGCAAAATAGTAAAAAGTCCAGTAGTGCCTTTAAGACTAACAAACTTCATTGTAGCATAAGCTTTTGAGAAACACAGCTCTCTTCATCAGATGCATCTGACGAAGAGAGCTGTGTTTCTCAAAAGCTTATGCTACAATAAAGTTTGTTAGTCTTAAAGGCACTACTGGACTTTTTACTATTTTGGGCCCTAAGAGTTACTTAAAAGTGGGGGTATACTATTGCCCGCCTGATCAAACCATTAAGGCTGATTCTTGAGATGCAGAAGGAAATACGGGAGGTAACTAAAGCAGATGTTATTATATTGGGAGACTTCAACTCCCCTCACATTGATTGGGTAAACATATACTCAAGTCATGCTGTAGAAACGAGATTCCTAGACAACAGAAATGACTGTGCACTGGAACAGTTGGTCACAGAGCCAACCAGAGGGATAGTGATCTTGGACTTGGCTCTGAGCGGGTCTCAAGACATGGTGAGACGTAGAGGTTGTTACCCCAACTGGGAACAGTAACCACAATGCTATTAAGTTCAGCATTCAGGTCAATGGAATGTTACCTCTAAAGTCGAAAACTGCAAAGTTCGATTTCAAAAGAGGGAACTTAACAAAAGTGAGGGAAATAGTAGAAAGGAAGCTGAAGAGGAAATACAAGAGAGTCAGATTCCAAGAGGATGCTTGGAAGGTATTTAAAACCACACAAATTGAAGCCCAAATAAAATGCATTCCATGGGTTAGGAAAGGCACTGCCAAGTCTAAAAGGCGAAGAGTACCTATTACATCGGGTATTGAATCTTTGGTAGTTAGGTATGATAAGATAGGAGACCATATACATGTAGTGTCACTGTGTTCTCCTTTGGGTTTGATTTGTTTAAAGATATCTGTTAAACTCGTTTCTGTAGTCTTCTTCTAGCCTGAGAAGTGTTTTTATGAGACTCTTTTTAAGGTGCTAGATATTTCCAGCTCTTTTTGCGCTCTTGCGGGGGTGTTTTGGGTCCTTTCAAACAGTTTTCGCCGGCAGCCGCGGCACAATCACTTCTTGAAAATGCCTTCAGTTATTTATATCTGAGACTTCTCGGCCTTTTGTGGTTCCCTCAGCAATCTTTGACCCAGACGGTCTCAACTGCAGATGTAATAGAGTCACATCCGCCTTCATCCATCCCTCAAAATATGCATCCATCAAGATCACGCTGCCTGGAATCACTTGCCGAAGGACGGAAATCATGTAAGTCACCTTGGGTGGGCTCCTCACACACCACACTGGGGCACCAAAATGGGACTTGGCGTTCCTGTACTGAGAGTATTTTCCATCTTGTTTTTGCTGCCATGTAAATAATAAGGAGCTGCGGTGGCTCAAGTGGTTAAGACACTGAACTGCAGGCTGTGGAAGGTCAGTAGTTCAGCAGTTCAAGACCCGGGTGCCGCATGACGGAGTGAGCTCCCGTCTCTAGTTCCAGCTCCTGCCAACCTAGCAGTTCGAAAGCAAGAAATTGCAAGTAGATAAATAGGTACCACTTCGGTGGGAAGGTAACAGCGTTCCGTGCGCCTTGGTGTTTAGTCATGCCGGCCGCATGAGCACGGAAACGTCTTCGGACAGCGCTGGCTCTTCGGCTTGGAAACGGAGATGAGCACCGCAACCCTAGAGTCGGACTCGACTGGCTTTCGAGCAAGGGAACCTTTACCTTTACTTTAAATAATATGTACCTGCATTCTTCTGTGCGTCATAAAGGGACAGGGGCTGTCAGCTATAATGCTGTGTACAGTGCATACTATCTGTTGCTCTGTATAAGGTCCCACTACGTAATTTCTGCACAGTTCAGGGGTGGACTGGCCTTTTGACTTACTGGGAAATTTCCCATTGGGGCATTGCCCTTGCAGGCTACTCATGGCCAGCCAATCCCCAACAACTCTGCCTGAGCTAGGGATGCCAGATCTGGGTTGGGGAATTCCTGGAGATTTTGGGGGTGGACTCTGGGTAGGGCAGGGTATGGGGTAGGCTTGCCAGCCCCCCGGTTTGGGCGGGGGATCCCCCGGTTTCAGGGGCTTCTCCCCACCGCGGACCAGCTGGCCAACATGGAAAGCCCCACCCCTAAACAGGGATATCGCCACGTGATGTCCCTGACGCGACGACAATCACCTGGAAGTGAGGACAAAAAAACCATAGCATTTCACCCAAATCCCAGAGTGTCCCTCACCCCTGGAACACCCCCCAAATCCCCCTGCTGGAGGGACAATAGGACCTGGCCACCTTAGTTTGGGGAGGGGTATAATGGCAGAGTTCACCTTCCAAAGCAGCCATTTTCTCCAGGGAAACTGATCTCTCTAGTCGGAAGGTTGGCAACCCTAGCAAGGTGTGGTTCTCCCAATTTAATGCATAATCCTTTGCACAAAACCAGCCATCCAGTATTAAAAATCTGGACGGCATGACAAACCTTAACATCTCTTTCTTCCTGCGTCACACAGAGGACTGACTGCAAACGCTGACCTCACCTTTGCCTGTTTTGCAGAATCAAGTTGAAGAAGACAGAAAAGTTTGTGTGTATCGATCCTGAAGCAAAGTGGGTGAAGAATGTGCTGGCAGCCATGTAAGTACAAATATAAATCATCCTGCTGTGTCACTAGGGTTGCTAGGTCCCTCCTGGCAACCAGCAGGGGATGTGGGTGGACTTATCAGGAGCAGGAAGAAGGCCCAGGTTACATCGCCAATGATGTGGTGATGTCACTTCCTGCATATCTTGAAAGTGATGTCATCATATTATGCCATTGCGGTAATGCTCTGGTATCCGGGCAGGAACTCTATGGGGGAAATGACTTCTACCATAAGAGTTTTTGCCCAAATACCAGAGTATCACTTGGATGTTGCTGATGTGATGACATCACTTCCGGCACACTTCCGGAGGAGGGCCTCCCTCCTGCACAGTCCCCCCACTGGCCAACTGACCAGCGTCCGGCAGCAGGGCCTGGGAGTGGGAGATCCCCCACCTCCAGCGGGGGGCTGGCAGCCCTATGAGTCACACATTTGGCCCATCTCGTTAGAACTATCTGTTCTGACTGGTCACAGTTTTCTTTGGGGTCTCTAAATGAGGGCCTTTCTAGCCCAGAATTTGAGATTCTTTTATGGGCTTTAGCACAGGGGTCTCCAACCTTTTTCAGCCCATGGCCACCTTTGGAATTCTGACACAGTGAGGTGGGCACAGCCACAAAATGGCTGCCACAAAACGGTTGCCACGGCTTACCTCCAGTCACACAGTGAAGATCCTTGTGCTGTGGTGGCAGCTGCGGCCAAAGCAGCATTTTTAAAAATCCGCATAGTCAATCAAATCTCCAGTGCCTTGCTGGGCAAAAGCCCCACCTAGTCCTGCCCACTTTTCAAAAACACTTGGTTGGCATCAGGAACAATGTTGGCAGCAGGGGTCATTTCATAAAAAAGAGGCGCAGGAGCTCATTAGCATAACTCATTAGCATAACTTATTTGCATATGCCACACCCCCTGACATCACTGGAAGTGTGTCAGAAGGCAACACCCACTGCAACTTACCTATCTGCTTCTTGCTCCTCGTGGCCCGGGGCTGCTGGGAGCAGGGGGCGGGGCTTGTTGCATGTGCCCGCCCCCTGGGCTCTTTACTGCTGGAGCTCTGCTCTTCGTACATCACAAGATGGCTGTCTCTGAGTGCGAAATAGGGAGCCTTTCCCTATATTAAAGGTAAAGGTTTCCCTTGCTCGAAAGCCAAGTCGAATCCGACTCTAGGGATGCGGTGCTCATCTCCGTTTCAAAGCCGAAGAGCCAGCGCTGTCCAAAGACGTTTCCGTGGTCATGTGGCCGGCATGACTAAACACCAAGGTGCACGGAACGCTGTTACCTTCCCACCGCAGTGGTACCTATTTATCTACTTGCAATTTCTTGCTTATCCACACTTATTCTCTGATCTTTCCTACAGAAAACACAGAAACTCTCCTCAAAAAACGAAGTTTCAAGTGAAGGAAACAGATGAACAACAGAAAAGCCCCAAAATGTGAAATGCATCTTATTTATTTCTGCTTTTGACTCTGTCTGTCTGGGTGGGAGGAACATCCCTAATCTTCTTTGAATCCCCGGCTCTTAAAACCTAACCAAGCTATGTCTAGGGTTACTGACCTGGACATCTCCGGGAATTACAACTGATCTCCAGACTATAGAGATTATTATTTCTGGAGCGTTGCTTTAGCGGATGGACTCCATGAGGTCCTTCCCTTACCCCCTCCCAACCCCCCTCCCAGCATTCTGCTAAAACCTGGGTTGTAGTATCATCTGGAACCTCCATGTTCAGAGGCACTCAGCCTTTGAATCCCAGACCTAGGAGGCAACGTCAGGGGAAGGTCTTGGCCTCTATACCCTGTTGTTGGACTGGCAGAGGAACTAGTTGTCCACTGTGTGAGACAGGATGCTGGACTAGATGGACTATTGGTCTGATCCAGCAGGGCTCTTCTTATGTTTTTATATTTTTACCCAGCTAGACCCTTTTGAGAACTACTATTGATATCACTTTCATCCAGTTGATTTCTAGGATAAGCATTTTAAACTGTGATAAAAAATGATGCAGGAGCATATTCCTCGAAGTTTTAAAAACAAGCATTAAATAATATCGTGGCTCACCTTTTGCTTCCTTTTGTATGCACGTCAAAAGTAACATATTATTCTGCCAGCTGCATTTTCATATAACCTGCTTTAAGCGACTTTTTATGATGCTCCACTGTGAAGAGATGAAAACTGATTCTGGGTTGTTGCTGTTGTTACGGAGTGTTATGAATAAAAGTCAATACATTTTTTAAAAATGTCTTTTCCTCGCTTTTTTATGACGTTTTGCAAAATCTATCGCTTCGGATAGCACATAGAACTGTTGGGTACTTGGGGAAGAACTCCATATTCTTGACAACCAAATATTACATTTTTTTGATTCCTGAGAAACTACAGTTACACACTCTTCACTTCTCTGAACGAGGAGACGCATCAGTGACAACATTCGCCTGGATGGTTCCTTTTGGAAAAGAGAGAACTGAGGACGTCTGGCTTTTTGTAATATTTGCTTTATTTATGTTGTGTATACAGCCTGACGAAGCCGGGCATGCCCGGGCTTGTCCAAAGACCCAAAACCTCAAGCTTCATGCCGAAAGACAATGGGCCAGTAGGATCCTAGCCAGGCCCAATGAAAGGGCTAGGTCCCAGGCCGGGAGGCCAATAGGTCTCTCGGTTACTGTAAATAGCTATCGGGAGTGGGGTGTGTGTTCTGGTGGTGGGTTTCTGAAGAAATATAAGCCGGCCTGCGAGCCGGCCAAGGTGTCTTGTTCCTGACTAATAAAAGGTATGCTTAGCTGAAATCACTCTCCGTATGCATACTTTTCAATTTACAAATATGCAGCCAGAGGGAGCGGGGGGGGGGGGGGGGGGAGGCACTCCTGCAGGGCAGGGAATCCACCACCCCACATCGATCCTCAGAGAAACTGCACCCTGAAAGGGCTACAGCCAGCTCACAGCATAGGGTTGCCAACCTCCAGGTGTTGGCTGGAGATCTCCCGCTATCACAACTGATCTCCAGGCAATAGAGGTTAGTTCACCTGGAGAAAATGGCTCCTTTGGAAGATGAACTCTATGGCGTTATACCCCATTGAAGTCCCTCCCCTCCCCAAACTCCACCCTCCTCAGGCTCTACACCACACCCCAAATTTACGAGTATTTCTTAACGTGGAGCTGGCAACCCTATCACAGCAGGGTCCGTCAGTTTTTCTCTCTGCCTCTTCCAGAATCAAAACTGCTCCTTTCTCCACACATGCACAAACATTTGATTCATCCCTTCAGCTGTAAGGCAGGCGGGGGGGGGGTCGCTTTGGAGGGTGGCACCTATGGCATAATTCCCTGTTGTGATCCGTCTCCTTCCCAAACCCCTCTCCCAAGTCTCCTCCCCAAAACCTTCAGGAATTTCTCCACCCGGAGTTGGCAACCGTAGCCCTGGATGGAGCCATTTTCTAACAATTAAACGCCCATGGGGTGATATTTGCAGTCATCTAGAAACATTAGGATTCCCTGTTTATTTCTTTTCTTTACTTTCTTTAGTTTCTTCATACCCCAGTTTTCTCCCTAGTGGGAACCCAAAGCGCCTGGCATTACTCCATCCTCCCGATTTTGCCATAGGCTGTGGCTCCCCACTCCACACCCCGAGGCATGCCACTTTAGGCCAAGCCTAGCTCAGACACCTTAAAACTCAAAAAAATATGGTAACGTTACCAAGGTGCCTTACAATCAGAACTGTGGAGGATCAGAATAGAACTAGGACGGCATAACTGCATTAGGATCCAATTAACAAGAAGAAGAGATTGGATTTATACCCCGCCCTTCACTCAGAGTCTCAGAGCGGCTTACAATCTCCTTCCCTTCCTCTCCTCACAACAAACACCCTGTGAGGCAAGTAGGGCTGAGAGAGCTCTGACTGAGAACTGCTTTTGAGAGAACAGCTCTGAGAAAACTGGGACTGACCCAAGGTCACCCAGCTGGCTGCATGTGGAGAAGTGGGGAATCAAACCCGGTTCTCCAGATTAGCGTCCACCGCTCTTAACCACTACACCAAACTGGATCTTCCCTTTTGTAATCTATAGTACTGAGTGTGGGTGGGTTCTAGTGCCCATGGCTTCTCCACAAAGAATTCTGGGCACTGTAGTTTGATGGGAACTACAGCCTGCTTGAGGCCAAGGACAGTGTGTTGTGTGGGAACCGTGTAAGTGTCTGCCTCTGCAAAGAAGGGGCAAATAGCTTCATCCTTCAGTCAAGCCTTTTTTATTTCTTGTCAAGAAAGGGATGATGTGGATATACAATAATCCTAGCAAGGATCAGGCTACAAACGAGACATAAAATGTGTGAAATTTAAAACAGAGCAGCATAGGGTTGCCAAGTTGGCAAATTTCTGGCGATTTGGGAGCGGTACCCGCAGAGGACAGAGTTAGGGAGGGGAGAGAACTCAGCAGAGATATGATGCCATAGAGTATAGCCTCTGAATAAGGTTTCCAACTCAGGGGTAGGAAATTCCTGGATACATTTTTTTTTGGGGGGGGGCGGGTTTGAACCTGGGGAAGGGAGGTACCTCAGAGGAAGGATAATACTCTAGAGTCCATCCTCCAAAACAGCCATATTCTCTAGGAGGGAACTGATCTCTGCTATCTGGGGATCAGTTGTAATTCTAGGATATCTGCAGGCTTCATCTGGAGGTTGGCAACCCTATTGCATGAACGTGTGCAGAGTGTATCTGCTTCTTCTACTGATGATCCCATAGCCCATCTAAGGGAATTGGGAAAGGGCTTCCAAGGAAGTTCCAGCTCCATCGCTGATTTTTCAAAAGAACTGGACCGTTTTGTAAAATGAGAGAGTGTGGAGCATCTTTGATAAGGGCTGGAAGAAACATAGCAGTGATGGGAAGAAGCGAACAGGTCCCTGCCTGGTGATGCTGCCAGTTGTATTTCTACTGTGTTCCATACTCGGAAAGGGATTTGGGTACCCGACTCACAAACAGGCAAATACTGCCTTCTAGTGGGCACTGACATGATAGCCAAATATAGCTCTCAGATTTGAGCCAGCTTGCAGGCAATTTTATGGCTGCCCCAAGTATGTATGTACAGCTCATAGGTCAGCCAAATAAGATGGTTGTGAAAAACAAACGACCAAGTTCTCAGCTGTTTTGTACTAGCTGTTTACATTGACTTCAGGAACGTGCCACTGACTGACACCAGGCCCGATCTGCATCTAGCATTTGCTCCAAACCCACACTGGAACAGGAAAAGATGCGGCTCAAAGCCACATTCAGATAACCCGGGGCCAGTTTGGCTTAGGAGGGATTTTCCAGAACAATCTTCATTTCATCAATCTTTTTACAGATGTTTCTATGCCACTTTTCTCTATAAAGCTCAAAGAACAGGCCACGTAAGGCAAAGTTTAAAAAAGAACTTTTTAAAAAGGGGAGAGTTGGTATTTCACTTTCAAATTACAGATGTCAACTTTTCAAGCCTTCCGCAAATCCTGATCTGCCAGAACGCAACAGGGTGGGAAGCATTTCACATCCCTCTGCTAGGAAGAAATTCCTTGCCTCAGTGCAAAAGAAAGTAGCCCTGACCAGCCACTGCTTGTCTCACTCTCAAACCACTTCCATTCTAGAGGGACGCAAGATGTCCATTCGCCCTTTGTCTGAACAACCTGAGGTCCAGTGGCTGAACCCCGTCCTCCTCCTCCCCACCCCCCCCCCCGCATCGGCCATGCTGCTGCCCAGAGATTGGTCCCTGTCCGCCAGATGCTGATGTCACAAGGACAGCATCACAAAGCCCCAGGGAGACAGAGGTGTATAAATAGGCTTGAGCCTTGGCAGTTGGAGTCACACAGCAGAGGCTGCGAAGGGAGAGGCCCGCCATTGGGCTCATGGTAAGCCACCCAGAGGGCCAATGGCGAATCTTAAAGTGGGAGCTGGTGGGGAGAAGGACGGTTGGTAGGAGGCGGCAAGGCAGGAGGTGGGGAGGAGGCAGATGGAGATGGTTTTATTGAAAACGGCATTTGACTGGTTTAGTTTTGAAAGACTGGCAGTCCACATTGGAGTTTTTCTTCATTGCCGCTTTGAACGGGTTTTTATAATTGTTGTTTTATTTGTATTGTTTCAGAGGCTCCAGAAACAGCAAGATCGGCGAAGGGTGTGCTGAAGACGCAGTGATCTGGGGTTTCCCTCCCCCCCCTCCCCTTCCCTTTCCTCTCTTTTGACTACTTTTGACTCCTGTTCAGCCCCAAACTACTGAAGGCACAATAGTGTCCTCACAGGGTCCTGACACTTCCTTCCTCTCCTCGACCTCCTCCACCCCCACTCACCCACCCACCTGCCCCCGCTCCCCTTCCCTCCCCTTCCCTCCCCTGGCCCCACCATTCCCTATTCCACTCCCTCCAGTGCCCCAAGCAATAGCTGGGGCGGTAGAGGGAATGGAACAGGGAGTGGTTGGGGGTGGTGAAGGAAAGGGAACCAGGGACATGCCAGCTACAGACCTCCCATTCCATTGTTTCCCCGAGAGGAACCCGTGGAATGGGAGGCCTGTGGCTGACCCCTCCCCTGTCTCCGCCCCCCCTCCCCTGGGAGTGGAAACTCCATGGTAGCTGCGCCAGGCAGCGGCCCTATGCTAGAGAAGTCTTCCACTGGAGCTAGCGAGGTAAGCCAAATGCATGAGCAAAGGATGGGGCACACCGCACCCTCCCCGTTCTCTCCTCTCCTCCCCCACCCTTTGGTTAGCTGCCGCTGGGCTACTCCAGACATGCATGGCTCCTCGGCAGCTGGCTGGCTGCTCTGTTGGGAGG